GGTCAATCACAACGCACTGGATAGCTGGCTAATCAGAGCACACCTCGCTTTTCAGACCGATTAGTTTTGTAAAAATCGACGCGTTTCAGAAAGGCGGGGCATAGAGGAGAAACAATAATGTACAGTATGTGGAAAATAATGTGTTTTTTTTACTTTAAACCGCATAAACACATTTCATTACACCAAATACACAAAATAATGTTCTTTTTAGCAGCATCATATGACCCCTTTAATATCTTGAACTAGCTTTTTAAAATATATTTTTATAGTAATTTTATTTTAAAGTTATTTTACTTTTAAATATTTATATATCGCTGTTTATTTATTGTATTTCAGTTATAGTCATTTTAATACTTCTATCTATCTATCTATCTATCGTGTTATTTTAGTATTATTTATATAGTACTATAGTATTTATTAATATTTTGAATTATCTCATTATATTTAAAATTTTCATTTTAGTTTGAATTTTAGCAATTTTGGCATGGGCTTTTGTCAATTTTATTAGCTTTTGATTTTAATTTTTATTATTTATACATTTTTTGTTAAATCTTTTTTTATAGCTGATTAATAAATTTTTTTTCTCAATTTTAATTTTAGTATTTGTAGTACTTCGATTTATCGTTCTTCTTATTCTAAATTATATTTTAGAAGAACGAACTGAAATGACGTCATTTCGAACAAAATCAGGCCGAAACGAAGTTCGTTTTGAGTTAGTTTCGGCAGTTCGAAACAGCTGACCAAAGCGAACTTTCTGGGGGAGTTCGTTTTGGCTCCTAAACACCTTTGAGCTTCCATTGGTCCGTGACGATTACGCAATCGGTGGGTGTGTTCTGGAGCTCCGCCTTCTTTGACGTGTGATTATTTTTATTTTTTTGCTCTTTTCCAGTTCGTTTCTCATTCAGCTGAGGTCAGGCAGGCCAAGTCACTGGCAACATAAATACACTGTGTCGAATAGCTGAGCTGCCACAGATATATCCGCACCTGTACGATCACTCGTGGAGAGACTTTAAAGATTCAGAGAAAGCATTTAATTCCTAGAAAGAAATTGCAATGAAGCTTGGTGCCGACGACCCGGAGTTATGCAAAAAGTGACGCAGAGAAACATCCGAGACAAGTTTTCCAAAGCCATGAAAGAATGAAAGGAAAGAGTAAAGATATAAGGAAGCAAGTACCAAATACATGTGTTTCAAATAAATGATACACCATACTGCTGCTGCTGTTGTTGTTCTTTCAATAAGCGAATTTAAAAGGTATACAATAAATGAAATGCCAGAAGAACATACAATAATAAACCTTTGCAACGCGTAAAAAGACAGTGTAAGTCATTATAATCAGTAATTATGTCTCCACTGGATGCAACAAATGCCTCGTTTGTAATAAGTTTTATTGGTTTTGTCTTGCCGTGCTGGGAGACGGCACCACAGTGTGTTAAGGGGCGTAACATTTCCGTCACACTCTTGAGGTATTCGGCCAATCACAACGCATTGGATAGCTGACCAATCACAGCACACCTTGCTTTTTCAGACCGATGAGCTTTGTAAAAATCGACGCGTTTCAGAAAGGCGGGGCATAGAGGAGAAACAATAATGTACAGTATGTGGAAAATAATGTGTTTTTTTTACTTTAAACCGCATAAACACATTTCATTACACCAAATACACAAAATAATGTTCTTTTTAGCAGCATCATATGACCCCTTTAATATCTTGAACTAGCTTTTTAAAATATATTTTTATAGTAATTTTATTTTAAAGTTATTTTACTTTTAAATATTTATATATCGCTGTTTATTTATTGTATTTCAGTTATAGTCATTTTAATACTTCTATCTATCTATCTATCTATCGTGTTATTTTAGTATTATTTATATAGTACTATAGTATTTATTAATATTTTGAATTATCTCATTATATTTAAAATTTTCATTTTAGTTTGAATTTTAGCAATTTTGGCATGGGCTTTTGTCAATTTTATTAGCTTTTGATTTTAATTTTTATTATTTATACATTTTTTGTTAAATCTTTTTTTATAGCTGATTAATAAATTTTTTTTCTCAATTTTAATTTTAGTATTTGTAGTACTTCGATTTATCGTTCTTCTTATTCTAAATTATATTTTAGAAGAACGAACTGAAATGACGTCATTTCGAACAAAATCAGGCCGAAACGAAGTTCGTTTTGAGTTAGTTTCGGCAGTTCGAAACAGCTGACCAAAGCGAACTTTCTGGGGGAGTTCGTTTTGGCTCCTAAACACCTTTGAGCTTCCATTGGTCCGTGACGATTACGCAATCGGTGGGTGTGTTCTGGAGCTCCGCCTTCTTTGACGTGTGATTATTTTTATTTTTTTGCTCTTTTCCAGTTCGTTTCTCATTCAGCTGAGGTCAGGCAGGCCAAGTCACTGGCAACATAAATACACTGTGTCGAATAGCTGAGCTGCCACAGATATATCCGCACCTGTACGATCACTCGTGGAGAGACTTTAAAGATTCAGAGAAAGCATTTAATTCCTAGAAAGAAATTGCAATGAAGCTTGGTGCCGACGACCCGGAGTTATGCAAAAAGTGACGCAGAGAAACATCCGAGACAAGTTTTCCAAAGCCATGAAAGAATGAAAGGAAAGAGTAAAGATATAAGGAAGCAAGTACCAAATACATGTGTTTCAAATAAATGATACACCATACTGCTGCTGCTGTTGTTGTTCTTTCAATAAGCGAATTTAAAAGGTATACAATAAATGAAATGCCAGAAGAACATACAATAATAAACCTTTGTTCTTATCAAATCATGACACCCAGTGTTGGGGAAAGTTACTTTTAAAAGTAATGCGTTACAATATTGCGTTACTCCATAAAAAAGTAACTAATTATGTTACTTAGTTACTTTTTATGGAAAGTAATGCGTTACGTTACTTTTGCGTTACTTTTTAAATCTGGACAGGGCTTGCTTGTTTGTTTTTAAAATAAAAAAGTTCTATTTTTGGCAAATATA